AGACAGCACAGCTATCACTGAAGAGAACCAAGACTCAGAGAGCAGTAAAGGGATTCCTATGTGAGTGTGAGGCTCTCTGTTCTGCCTCCATGAAGATATACGGCAAGCTCTGTCATATAGCAAAATAGCATCTTGTATGAGCATGATGGCATTAAGAGCAAAGTGAAAGGGTCAGCATTTTACTGATAGAGACTGTTTAAAACTGAGAAAAGAAAAATCTACATCAGAAGAGATGATGAGAAAATAAATTGGTACAAGTTGAAGGTTCTTCCTTGCCCAACAGCTTGGGAAACAAATGAAAAAATTGTATCAGCTCTAAGAATTGAGGAACTTTATATGATTTAGTTTTTGGATGTAGCATCCTTAAATCTCATTATATCACCTTTCACTTAGAGCTTCGACCTTGCACTGTCGTTCGTAATCTCATTCTCAGCCACACTTGAAACTTTGTCAGAACCTGGGCTGTCCCAGGGGTCTTACTTAAGGCCAAGATGTGTGAAAGGTCCTGGCTTCTCATTGGATTTGTGAATCCACGTTTACCTGGCTCAACTTTCTCAACTCTTTTTTCTATGTGTTTTTCCTAAGCTTCTGTTTTTAGTGTTCTAATTCTTGCAGTTTACTTCCATGCTTGTTTTTTAATTCTATTTTTTATTATGTTTCCTTGCCTTGCCTTAGCTTACTTTTTATTTTCTTTTGTCTTATTAATTTTTAATTGTTTGCTCTTTGATGTTTTGTCTTGGGCCATGTTTTAAAAATATTTTTTGATAGTATTTACACAAAGATTTTTTGAAATTTTCTCCCTATCTAATAGTGACTTTTGCTTGCTTTTCATTTGCTCTATTACTTTGTGCATTTTACATTATGCTATCTTTAACCATTGTGTGTGCAAATTTCTGCTGGTTTTGATTACTTTTTAGTGAGGTCCATACTGTCAGGATCAGCTCTTTCCTGAAAAATAAGATGGGAAAGAAATATTTCTCAGGAAATTTTCTTACCCCATTTTGCTGAACATATGTATGTACCATAATCCACTCAGTGCTCTGAGTATTTGGGGTGAAAAGGAAGTAAACTTAGGCCAGACTGAGTCATTCTCTCACAAATTTTTGCTTTTGATGGTCTTATATTTTTACAAGTTTCTTTGGTGGATCATGATTGGCTGTTGTGACAAATTGTTCCTTTCACTACCTCCCATTTATAGACCTGTACTTGTGATTTTGTCTGTTCCTTGTTTGGCCTTAGTCTCTGCCACTCTACAGTGTGGAATAAGGCCCACATGGTTCCCATAAGCCATCTAACTCCTTAAACTTAATATCTCAAAACAGTAATTGATCATCAGCTGTTTAGGTAATAGCATATCTGTGCTATCTGGTTTCAGTATATTAACATATAGAAATGCAAATGCAGATATAGATAAAGACACAGACACAGAGACTTCAAGTCTAGGCATCATGCCACAAATTGGTCCCAATATCAGTTGTTCTTGGTAGCTTATTTATAGATTACAGTTTGAAGTTGAGTTGGCTTTTCATACTTTCACTGAAGATAGAGAAATCCTCCTTGAGCTTCATGCATTTTCTAGTTTGGATAGATTTCAGAGGAGAGTGAAATAGAAATGCCTTGACTCTGGCAGCTCTAACCATAAGTTTCTTGTACATATATAAAAAATAAAATCTAAATATTTGAAGGCAAAATATTGTACCTAAGGTGTCTCTTTTCAAATTTTTTTTTTAATCTTTATGGCCCTCTTACTGAGAAAATAAAGGACACTACATTTTAGAAAATATTTTTGAGAAGACTAGTATACAATCTGGAAGGCCCTGATTTACACTATTTGCAGTAAATGATGGGTTTAATATTTCCAGTGAGCCTACAGTGACAGAAACTGACCCTTGATTGATTCATTTTGGAGTCATTTTTACTTAGCTACTATTCTTAAGCAAATTCAATCTTTAATCATGTCTACCTCTTCTTGATGATCTAAAAAGCAGAATATAAGAATCTTAGAGGTCTTTCCTCCCTAATATGAATATGCTTGACTGGTCTTTTTGTGTCTAGTGAAAGGTGATAAAATGCAGAGAAAACTTCTCTGTAAGGTGTATGGCAAGAGCTAACCCAGGGCTCAGGGTTTAGTAGTGACCTTCATGAGAAAGCTGCAAATATTTCTATTTCATGTGATTTCTTTTGAGATTGAATTTAAAGGCATGAATACAAAGAACACAAGATGCTATTTTATTTCAACTTATCTGGACTACTTACTGTTAACTCTTCATTTGTAGGGGACATAAACTTATAGTCCTTGATATTGCTAGTTTTATTTCTATGTTGTGTTTTATTTTATTTTTTTTTCTATGTTGTGTTTTAATAGCATATGAGCAGAAGGTAAATTTTATAATCATTACTACTAACTCTAATGCAGACTGATTATAATATCTTTAAAAAATTTTTTTAAATTTATTTTTATTCATGAGAGACACAGAGAGAGAGGCAGAGACATAGGCAGAGAGAGAAACAGGTTCCATGCAGGGAGCCTGTTGTGGGACTCGATCTCAGGACTCCAGGAACACACCCTGGGCTGAAGGCAGGCGCTCAACCTCTAAGCCACTCAGGCATCCCAATAATATCTTTTTTCATATGAAGAGCATACAAGTTTGAAAGAAAATATTGATATCTCCATTCTCCCTACACGGTAGTGTGATACACTATCTAACACTAATACTTTCATGCTTTTAAGTTAAAATTTGAGTTTCAATCTTATTTTTCTTATCTTACATGATTATGAAAAAAATTAAACCATATGTGCTATAGTTTATGACCCCTATTTTAGAGATAAGAAAATTAAAGTTCAGAAGTATCAGTTTACTCCCCTAAGATCACATTGCTAATAAGTGGCAGCAGCAGTTTTCTAAATAATCTATGATCTGTAGCATAAAGTCTTCTACATTTTGAAAAATTGTAGCTGTGAGGGCGAATGTTGGAGAATGAATTTCAACCGAATAATGTTTCATGAAAGACTTTGAAAAACAAGCATGGGAAAGAACTAGTAGTTTTCCCATTTTCCACTGTTAATGGGTGCTAGCCGGTTGTGTTGAGAAAGCTTTCTATTTTAGATGAATACAAGAACTTACTGTTTAAAGGAATTGTGTATAAAGCAAGATTATTTCACTGAATATAGTAGCAAATCCTTCAGAGAAACTAATCTTTATAATTCTGACATTGGGTACAACTAAGGATGGGCAGGCTCCTCTTAGTGTATGTTATTAATATGTTTACTTAGTACTTATATTAAATTTCCCTTATGATATATCCCTTGGCTTACTTTAAGATATAATACAGAAAAGATATTTTAGCTGCCATAAACAAAGTATCTCTTAGAATGATACTCTTCAAGTAAATTTAAGCAAATGACCAGTTGAATTTTAGCAGTTGACAGTTGAAAATTGAGGTGGTAAAAGGAATATCAAACAAAAAAACTTCTTTCCATCCCTTGAATTCAAGAAAGTATAAGATACTTCTCTGACTTTAATGAGTCTTGGGATCATGAAACATATTAACAGTGCAGAATCTTAATAAATTCATACTTGCCATACTTACTACAAGTTACAGGTATCAAGCAAGACAGAAGACTGTGACTGACATTTCAGTTATTGAATACGCTCCTGTTAGGGCAGAACCATTACCTCAACTTTATTATTCTCAAAAGCCTATTTTCGCCACTACACCCTTTATAGTTGACCATTATCTCTTATGAATAACATCTAGATGTAAAAAAAAAAAAAAAAAAAAAAGAATAACACTTAGAGCCAGGACAGTAAATTCATAGGTGATCTACTTAAAAATATTTCTTTACTATTGTGTTGAAAGTTCTCCTAATTAAACTCATAGACTAAAATAAGTATGTATTAGTTGTCTATCACGCTGAGCTTTAAACTCAGCATCTTAAAATATACTCATTCTTTACCTCACAATTATCTCACAGATTCTTGGATCAGGAATTGACATACTTTTTGACTGGGTCTTCTGGCTCTGAAAATATCATAAGGATATAGTCATCTTGAGGCTTTTCTGTGAAGGATCTTAGTCAATGGGCATTGGAGCATTCAGTCTTTCATGGCTGTTGGGCTGAGGCCTCGGTTTCTCATGAACTCTTGGCTAGATGCCTACCCCAGTTCTTATGATGTGGGCTTTGCCATATAGCATCTTATACCATACCAGCAGTTAGTGAGAGGAGAAGGAAAAGCATCATCAAGAAGGAATGCTAACAAAACGGAAGTCACAATCTTTTGTAACATAATCACAGAAGTAACATCACATCAATTTTGCCATATTCTATTTATTATAAGCAAGTCACTAGGGTCAGCTTACACTCAAGGTGAATGCATTACACAAGAATGTGCATACTATTGAATGGCTGAAGATCACTTGGAGCCATTTGAGAAGGCTGCCTACCAGAAGCTATATGTTTGTAACATCTAGGAAAACAGAACTTGATGTCATTGTTTTTCAGTTTACCTCCTCTTGCTTTTTAAATTTTTTTAAATAATTGAAATTCAATTAGCCAACATATAGTACCTCATTAGTTTCAGATCTAGTGTTCAATAATTTATCAGTTGTTTATAACACACAGTGCTCTCTTTAATGCCCACCATCCAAGTACACCATTCCCCCACCCACCTCCCCTCCAGCAATCCTCAGTTTGTTTCCTATAGTTAAGTCTCTCATAGTTTGTCTCCCTCTCTAATGATTTCCCATTCAGTTTTCCCTCCCTTCCCCTATGATCCTCTGTGCTGTTTTTTATATTCCACATATCAGTGAAACCTATGATAATTATCTTTCTCTGATTGATTTATTTCACTCAGCATAATCCCCTCAAGTTCCATCCACATTGATGTAAGTGATAAGTATTCATTCTTTCTGATGGCTAATATTCCATTCTATGTATATATATATATATACTTCTTTATCCATTCATCTGTTGATGGACATCTCTGCTCTTTCCACAGTTTGGCTATTGTGGACATAGTGCTGTGAGCATTTATGTGCAGGTGCTCCTTCGGATCACTACATCTGTATCTTTGGGATAAATACCTGGCAGTGCAATTGCTGAATCATGAGGTAATTCTATTTTTAACTTCTTAAGGAATCTCTATACTGTTTTCCAGAGTGACTGTACCAGCTTACATTTCCACTAATAGTATAAGAGGGTTCCCCTTTCTCTGCATCCTTGCCAACATTTGTTGTTTTCTGTTTTGTCAATTTTAGTCACTTTGACTGTTATGAGGTGGTATCTCATTGTGGTTTTGATTTGTGTTTCCCTGATGCCAAGTGACATGGAACGTTTTTTCATGTGTCTCTTGGCCTTTTATATGTCTACTGTGGAGAAATGTCTAATTCCTGTCTTCTGTCCGTTTCTTGACTAGATTATTTGTTTTTTGGGTGTTGAGTGTGATAGGTTCTTTTTTTTTCTTTTTTAAGATGGGAAATCCTCTTTCTTTCTTTCTTTCTTTCTTTCTTTCTTTCTTTCTTTCTTTCTTTCTTTCTTTTTTAAAGATTTTACTTATTCATGAGAGATACACAGAGAGAGGCAGAGACAGAAGCAGAGGGAGAAGCAGGCTCCATGCAGGGAGGCCATATGCGGGACTCCAACCCTGGGACCACGGGATCACGCCCTGAGCCGAAGGCAGATGCTCAGCCGCTGAGTTACCCAGGCGTCCCGATAGGTTCTTTGTAGATCTTGGATATTAGCCCTTTATCTGATATGTCATTTGCAAATATCTTCTCCCATTCTGTAAGTTGTCTTTTAGTTTTGTTGACTATTTCCTTTGCTTTACAGAAACTTTCCATCTTGATAAAGTCCCAATAAAAAGCTCTTCTTTTTTTTTCTCTTAATTTTAGCCTATAAATAAAGCTTATCATGTCAGTCAACATTCAACAAAAAGCAAGTGTTTCTCTACTTCCCATAGACATGTTTTATTACACCAAAAACAAGAGGGAAAGAAAAAAAAACAAACAGTGATCGTTTTTATTATTTATTTATTTTAAAAAAGATTTTATTTTTTTATTCATGAGAGACAGAGAGAGAGAGAGAGAGAGAGAGGCAGAGACACAGGCAGAGGAGGAAGCAGGCTCCATGCAGGGAGCCCAACGCAGGACTGATCCCAGGTCTCCAGGATCACGCCCTGGGCCAAAGGCGGTGCTAAACCACTGAGCCACTAAACCACTGAGCCACGTGGATTGCCCTAGAGGTTGTTTTTAAGCGTTATGATTCTCCTAGAAGAGCAACACTGAAATTTTATATTTACGAATTGTGTATGCAACTTTATAAGCATTAAGTTGTTTTCTCTCTTTCTTTTTATGTTACTTGAGATTTGGGGGTTTCTTTAGTTTAGCCCATCACATAATTATAACGCTAGTATAGTACTTAGCATATTATGAATAATGCATATGACAAGAGTAGAGACAAACTGTTTTCTCTTAGCTTGATCAAAGATTGCTTCACTGATAGAAAAATACAGCTGAATTTCTGACTCTAATATTTTTTGAGTTCCTACTATTTCATATATTGATTTCTTTGGGTTTTACCTGGGATAAGATTAAGGGAGTAAAGACCTGCATGGATTTTATTCTCTTTCTGAAAAGCTTTCCAGTGTAATTTGTATTAATATATGTTTACCTTCCAAATAGCTTCAGAATTGGCAACTCCTCACAAGCTCTATTGCTCTAACCTTGTTTTAAGAGACCACTACTACTTGTATAGATTTTTGCAATCTCATTCTCATTTTTCTTGCTGGTTCTATTCTTACATTATCCCCCCTACCATCTAAGCTCAATAGAGCTGCTAGAGTAACCTCTTCAAAATATAAGTAAAATTCTATCAATTCTGTCAAAACCCTTCAGTGCCTTCTCACCTCACTCAAAGTGAAAGCCAAAGTCCTTTCAAAGACATATAAAGCCCTATGATTGGGACCACCATTGTAGCTCTGACATCCTTATTTTGCTTCTTGCTCATCATGTTCTATACACAATTGCTTTTTTTGTGGTTTCCTGAACACCCCAGGAACACTCCAGCTTTTGTATTGGTAACTCGTTCTCCTTGGAATGCTATTGTAATATTTTCTTGACTTGTTCTATCATCTCTTTCAAATAATACCAACATATTTCTTCTCACTCCTATATTATGAATTTATTTATTTATTTATTTATTTACGTATTTATTTTATAATCCTATTTAATATCCCCTCTATCTGGCTTTCTTGGTCCAAATTCCCTGGTTTATTTTTGCCCTCTCACTTTCAACATTAGCTACCTTTAATTTTTCTGTGTCTCTCCTCTGAGGAGTTACTGTCTATTCTGTTTGCCTCATGACTAGAAGAATGGCTGGTACATTCTATAATATGTTACTCAAGAAAATGATTCTAAATAAAATTTCCTTTTTTTTCCTCAGGAAAATAATTGGGTTTATGCCCACCTTGTCCTACTTCTCATAAAAATAGAATTTTCATTCTTTTATTTGCAACATGGTCATGCTACTTTTGCTTTACTGTTATTAGGCATACACAAAGACTTAAATTTGCATACAGGCAGGGTTATCTAAATGGTACATACATTATATAACTTGTATTCCCTGGGATATCTTCTACTTAACAGATAGAAATAATAAATTCCATGGCTAAATATTTAGATTTTATATTTAATAATTATTCAGCTGACTGATAAATATCTCTATTATGAGGACCAGGATGTAATTTGTTTATTAGATTTATACAATAATTAACACATAGTTAATTAAATTGTAGCATCTTATAGTGATCTATTTCTGCCATATGCAAAGGAACACACATTCTCTAAAGTCTGAGGAAGAATTTTCTTCCTTCTTTCATTTCATTCCTTTCTCAGATTTTCCCTTGACAAGTAAAAGACCAGTTTCTTCACAAGTTGCTCCTTTGTAAAGTCCTCTCAGTCTGCACCACAATTTGATTTAGCTGTCTTTCCGAAGCTCCCACTGAGCCTTGATTGGGTACTTTGGTGAGAGTCTCTAGGAAAGATCAGGCCAAGCCTAATGAAATGAAAAGTAATAAAAATAGATGTAATGGTCTAGTTTTGGGGTACACAACCATACTTAGAGTCTATAAGACAAAAGTTAAGCAATTTGACTTTGGAGATTTTAATTGCCAAGAAATTACAACACGAGATGGCTTCCAAAACAAAAAGTTAGTTTTAAGCTATATTTACACTGATGATTGTATGATGATATGATTGTATTCTACTCTGCACATAGCAGTACCATTTGTTGATTTTGTGTGTTAGGAAGGCTGACAACCTAGAGCAAATTAGGAAGTTTGTACCACTGGCAGGTCTGCATGATGATCTTGCAGTGAGCATGAGAAGTATTTGGAGCAGATAGAAGAAAGAAGCATAAGAATTGTGTTTGAGGAATATCCTAGCAAAAAGAATTTAGAAAGTTCTGTTTATTCAAAATGTATAAAAAAAAACAGTGGATGAATGTAACAGTTTTAGTTTTGATAAAAGGGTGGACCTTTTCACAATAAGAGACTTTGGAAAATGGAATGTGTTGCTTAGTGAGGAATTGAGTTCCACAGAACAGGACGTGGTTGAGCAGAACTCCAGATGTTCAAGCATTAATTGGGGCCTGTGGTTGATGATTTCTAGTTCCCTTTTAATCCTGAGCTTCCATATTTCTTAAAGAGAGGGGCAGGAGTAAAACTGATGGACAAGGAACTGTGTTTCATATAAATATATTTATTTACTATGATTAAAAAAAACTCACTGAAATTTACATTCATCTTGATATCATGGGAGAGGCAATGTGAAAAAGCAAATAAAACTTGAAAACCTGATGAAAGCACACAGTGAAATATATAAGGCACCAGTAGTATTTTTAATTTAGGAGAAGGCGAAAAATAAATCAAGCAGCTAAAGAAGTCAGGATTCAAATCTCCAAATAATAACCTGAAGCCAAGCGAAGCCCTAGGCTTCTGTAATATTGCACAAGTACATGAGAGACATTGTTGTTCACTGTGACCTTCATACAATCTGGACAAAGGAAAGGCAAGAACAGCCTGTATCCTGGTATAAATCAACACTCAGTGTGTTGTGCTGTCTAGAAAGGCGGAACTGAAGGAGGTAGAGTATTCAAGGAAAAAGTCATTAGACTCATATGGGAAAAGTTCCAGCTGTGTATCCCTTAAGATGCTATCAATGGGCTGACTGTGAAATGTTCCAAACAAGCAGGATTTAAAATGCTGATATTTTAGGAGCACACATTAATTCACCTTGAAAGTTTTAATGAGAAAAACAAGAACAACTGAATAGTCTCTCGGCATGACCAGGCATTTCTGGAAAGATTTTTCTGAGTCACCAGTGTATGCTCAGGTCTTTGGCTTTTAAAAACATATTGTCACAGAAACATCTGACATCATTTCTCACTGGTTCCTTCACTTGATAAATAAAAAGAAAGAAATATGAACAAGAAACAATTTCTGTTTCTTCTATAGTATTTCATAATTGATTCTTATTTTTCCTTTTGGTTTATAGCACAGTAGAGACAGCAAAGAAATTTATCCCATGATAAAACCAGAGATATTTTTAGTATCTGTTAAACAAAAATTACATTATTCAGGAGATCTAAAACAGAAGAATAAATAAGGTAAATGAAATTGATTACTTAGCATGAGGTGTAGAGCCCTTAGTGAAATTTATCCTGGGTAGATCCCCCTCATCTCTGCTATCCTTCCTCTACCTTTTCATATTTCATCTTGAGATGAGTAACTAGTAATAATACACTTCTCCTTTAACTTAAGGACTGCTTTCCTTCATCATTTCCTATTTCACATGTACAATTTTATGTCATTTTGATAACCAAATCATGTATTCATGCTGGGCTATGTGAAAGAAAAGAATGAATGAAAGTGATATCCTTGTTTTCAAGATAGAAGAAGCATCAAATCCACCTAAGATGTCTCCATATGAAAAAGTTGTCTAAAACCCACAATCAAGTAAAATAATCAGATGTGATTTGAGGGGGAAACCATCCCAGGATCGGGACCAAACTGTACATTTTTGCAAGCTTGATTTTCTTTGAATCCTCCCAAAAT